TTAGAGATGTGCTAATAATAGACTAAATAAAGAATAGATTAAAAATATTATGCTCTTTATATATAATCCATTTTCTATTTAATTAAATTTACTCCTCCTCCACCATTTTAACAAAAGATTCTACATTTCCATATTTAAAATTTAACAACGGCTATATTTCTATATGCGTCTGATGATTGCCTCGTAAACAAAGTAATTTCTAAAGAAGCAATGGATTTTTATTTATTAACCCGACATATCTTTTTCGAGTCGGTTAAAAGCACATCCGATCTAACGACGGTTTATCCTGCAAAGGTGAACGCAGTTTCGAATCCTTAAATTATTTAATGAGATTTCTCGAATATTTAAACCGGTAGATAAAAATTAAATACCGCTTAAAAATTAAACGGAACGTCTACTCAAACATGGGTATCTACTGAAAATAAAGTTAAAAGTGATAAAAATATATAGTAAATAAAAATTCATTACTGCTTTAAAAGTATAATATACTTATGCAGCTTGTATTTGTTTAGCACATGACACAAGCGTAGTGTATCCAGTAGTGATAGATTTCATGACACTAAGAAATTCACTTACCAGACAAAACACGCACTACAGTAGACGCCCTATGCGTGTGTGTATCGCAGTAACTCGTCAGTCAGCTTAATCATGTACAAAAGTGTCTGCCACAAGGAAACAAATGTGGGTCACTGATGAGGATCGGGCTTACCGCAATAGCAGTGGTCTTCGAGAGTAGCTTGTTAACCAGTATACGCCAGAGAGACCTATTAACATCACTTTAGTCTGCCACAAACGTGAGGCACCCACTGCCCATAAAACATAGAACAATAGTAGTAATGGTCTGCAAGATTAGCTCGTTAACCATTACTTCCTTATGAGTTGATCACAAATGACCTCATATAAATATTTACACTATTTACATTGTTCGAACTGTTGTCCTTACCTTTGCTGCCATATTCACGACATTTCGACCGTTGTACTCTCCAGCTTTCTCCAGGTGATTGGAATTTCGAACTGAATTCTTTATTTAGTCCACCGGAGTAGATTGTTCTATTTCCACATGCCATGCCTCTTCCGGATGTCTCAGTTATCACCCTTTAACACAACTCTCCAAGTTTTTGTTCACCACTTCAGTAGCCAGGTATTGATCTAACAACACTTTGGGTCAAGTCACTGGATCCAACCAATGATTTTATCCACTGGGCCATGTGTCCAATCTACCCCGGTGGGCGAAATAAAGGGTTCAGTTCGAAATTCCAATCACCTGAAGAAGGCTGGAACGTACAACGGCCGGAACGTCGTGAATATGACATCAAATATGAGGACAACAGTCCGAACAATGTAAATAGTGTAAATAATTACAATACTTTATCTCAGAAATATAGACAGATACCTTTTATAAATGTTTACTCAGCCTAGCTTAGTCCAGAATGCAGCTATAGTTGTGCGATACCCAATGAGGATAAGCATTATTACACCATCGTTACGGTTACTGGACTGCGAATCATGTATGCCACCCCGAAACCCACTGTTGAATCGTTATTGTACGGCAATGGGTGCTTCACCGTGCTTATTCAATCTAGTTTTGAATTCATAATTGCCTTCAAGTGTGTCCTACCAAGGTTTAAGTGACTTGTCTATCTTATCATGTCACTGGATTCATACCTTTTCCCTGGGACACTAGTGTAGAGTGAAAGCAAACAGCCGGCATTGAAACTCGTTTCACTGAGTTCATTTTCCAAGTTGGTAGCTATTATGCTAATCATTAAATTATTTTTCTTTATAATGTTCCCCCTTTCCAGGTCGCAGGCGATCATGACTCTCCATAGATTCCTTTCTTTTAGAATCTTTGAATTGCCATGCATTCTTGAGAAAGGTAACGAAGTGGTTTTCTGGTTTTGAATTCAGGAATTTCTTTCTCTTAGCCTAGGCTTCAGTCTACTCTGCTATTTAATCCATAGCTGAAGGGAGAATGGACAGATTTGTGCGAAAGTTAACGCAACAGACTCATTTGGAATTTGAACCCTGATCGTCGATTCCACTTGTGCGATTAAAAACAAAAAAACAACCTTGTGCCACATTTAAGCTACGCTGAGAAAATCACTAATGGGTACTTTGACGTGGTGTAAGGGTTAGCAAGCTTGTCTCAATTATGACTGAGTAGTGATTTCAATCTTCACTGAGTGCTCCACACTGTCTCTCCTGTGCCACATTTAAGCTACGCTTACAAAATCATTTTTTTGCAATTCTACGTGATCTAATGGTTAGCAAGCTAACGCGAGATCAACTACGACTGAATAGTGAGATCGATCCTCACTGTGTGCCCTATACTTTCGGCCTTGCGCCACATCTAAGCTACGCTTAGAAAACCCCCATAAATTCATTTTAGTATTATGTTTTTATCTCTGTATACAGATGTGTATGTGTATATGCGTGCCTGTCCGTGTTCGTTTGTATGTGTCTCCTGCGTTCGTTAGGGCAAGGTTAAGGGTGTACGTGTATAATTTTGGTCCTTTTGAGACAAGATTTAATTTTTTAAAAGGATCCTTTGTCTGATTAAGAAATAGTTTCTTTTTCTTTTCTTTTTCTACGTGGTTTCTTAAAATAGAAAAAAGAAAGAAAGAGAATAATGCGTTTCCTCGCTTGCGTACAAGCACAGACGTATAAAGTTAATAAAAAGTGGCACTCGCGAACACCGAAGATTATAAGAACACTTAACTGATGACCCGGTTCTTCAAACGCTTCGTTGTGGTGTAATAGTTACGCAGCATGTCTGGTAGAACATTACTACAGGTTTTAATACTCACTGGGTGCCCCTGACCCAGTAGCCTTGTGCCAAAACTATGCTACATAACTACATAACAGTAAATAACAACAGGCGCCTCAGCGTGGGGTAATGGTTAACTAATTTGTTAGATTTACCAACGCGACTGATCAATGAGTTTGATTCTCACTTAGCGGTCGATATATACGATCTCGTGACAAAGTTAGAATTTGTAAATTTTAGAGCACCTCGGGACGGGGTTAATGGCTAACAAGCTTGTCCCATTGACTATTACTACTGTTTATTTTTCGATTCTTCTCAAACTTGCGACCTTGTGAAAAAAGTTAGGCTAGTAAATTTTGTGGCACCTTAGAATGCGGTAATGGTTAACGGGCTTGTTTCTTTGATCATTACTACAGGATTATTGTTCGTTTCTAACTGGGTGACCCAAATTTGTGAATTTGCGTCAAAGTTAAGATTAGAAAATTTTGGGGCACCTTAGGATGGGGTAATGGTTAACGAGGTTTTCGGGTAGACCACAGCTACAGATTATTTTTCGTTTCTCACTGGATAACCTGTATATGAGCCCTTGTGCCAAAGTTATGATTAGTCAATTTTGAGGCGCATGGAGCACATTTACGATGTTAAATGGAGGCACGATGGAGTAATGGATAGCGGCTCGGATTGTGGAATTGAAGAGTCAAGTTCGAATTCCAGTGGAGTTCATTACACTCACTTATGTGCTAATACCCTTCGGAAAGTTATGAATCATTCTCCTCTCTCCCCCGGATATGGGTAAATAGTAGGACAGATTGGGTTATATAGCCTTTGTTGGCAACCAGTTTAGGATTCAACTCAGCCTGGTGAGGGTTGGGTTCCGTCGGGATGTCATGCCCAGGAAACGCAACTGCTGCTCTGGCTGTAGTAAATATGTTACAGGATTCATGATCGTGATCAAATGGTTTACGAGCTGATCTCGTTGACCACTGTTACTGATTAGTGAGCTTGATTCTCAGTGGGTGGCCTATATTTGAAGCAATGTTTTTTTTTATTTTTTTTATTTTTTTCCCCAAATAAGCAAATTACAGTAAACGATAATGATTAGAGTTGAGGATTAGTTTACATTCATAACTAGACTTTGGTCACTTTATTTAAATCTCTTGTATTTTGTGACAGGATTTTATTTTCGTCTGCTGCTCACAGATATTTCTCAACCATCGATTATTGAGCCAAGAAAAATTTATTCTCTGCTCCTTTGTATTACAAGATTGATTGAGTGATTGATTCGTTTTCTGCAGCTTATCAACCATTTTCAGGTTATTTAAAGCCAGAAAATATTTTTAAATTGTAAGTTTTTTTTTTTTTTGTTTTTTTTGTTTTGTTTTTGTAGTTTAATAAACAAGTCTTACTAATTAACCCATAGCTGGGGGAGAACAGCTGGCTTCCTATCTAATCAGAATTTGATAAACAAACAAGAAATTATAATGTGGATATAAAATGGAGATCAGTTCTATATTACTATAAGTATATAAACTGATCCCTCACTTTATGGCTACTGAAGTTTCCACAAATTTATACTCCAGAGAATGTAAATAAATCTAAAAATCATGCCTGTGTAGCTCATCCGTATTTCATTGATTGATTGATTCGTTTTCTACGCCTTATCAAATCTTCGCAGGTTATTGAAAACATGAATTTTTTTTATATTTTAATAATTATTTTTACATGATAATGGTATAGTGATACAAGTCTTAATAATTAACCCATAGCTGGGAGGAGAATAGGTGGAGTCATACCTAATCAAGATTTGATAAACATGAAATTATAATGTGTATATAAAGTGGGAGATCATTTCTATGTTACAATTAATATATTAACTGAACCCTCATTTCTGTGACCGTTTTCTATACAATCTATACATTCTATATTCCAGAGAATGTAAATAAATTTAAGTCATGCCTGTGTAGCTAATCAGTATTTTAATTGATTAATTCGTTTTTTTACGGCTCATCAACCCTTTGCAGTTTATTTAAAGTTTGATTGTAAGAATTTTTTTTAGATAATAATGATACATGTTTTACTAATTAACCCATAGCTGGGGAGAGAAGGGATGGAATCATACTTTTCTTAAGTGTATTTGCGTGTAAGTGAATATAACGAACCCAATGGAATTGGAACTCGGCACTTCGATTAATAATTCTGAGCCATTATTTATTACACCACCAGCGCATCCAAGCTTACGGCACCTGGTATTCCCAAGCGGTCACTCATCATGGTAATGACCAGGTTCGACGTTGCTTAATTTCGGTGATCGTACGGGAACCGGTGTTTCAACATGATGTTCCAGTAAGCATTGTATTACAAGATTACGGAGTTTTGTTTTTAGGATTCACTTCAAAATATGCAAAAATCTAAATTATTTGCATAAAACAGAAATTCCTATGAGAAAGTTTCATTCAGAAATAAAAGATTAACATAAAATTGGTACCTCCAAAAAGTCACTAAATGAAATTATTTTATAAATTTCTTTTTTTAGCAAATCTTAATAAAAAATATTTTATTTTTACATGTTTCCCTCTCTAACTTAATTTTATGAAATTTCGAGAAATTAAAATTCCGCCCTCTTCATATTTATGTAAGTTAAAAGGTGTCCTTAGAGAATTTAAATCAGCAGTTTGTTTTTGTTAAACAGAAACACCATTTACCGAAAATCTGCTCTGAATCGTAAAATAAAAAATGCAATAAATTATGACATTATTTAATTAGAAAAGCTTTTCATTCTTCATTTTCATTTTTCATAAATAAGATATATTAAGGACACTATTGTCTTAGAAAAAACATTTTTTCGATGAATAATAAATTTTTACAAGAACTGTTTTTATTTTTTTATTTTAATTCGAATCGTTTAAGTTTTAAATCTTTTAAAATTATGTATTAATTTCACCCTTTAAATGATATCATTAAGTAAAACTATATTTACTAATCATAAATGGAAAAGCTGTGTACAAATCATCAAACACCAGTTTTTTAAAAGAATTTTAAAATTTTTTGTATGTGCATATACATACCGATTTTTCTAGATACGGTTAATCGTACACATTATCAGAAATTAAGAACGACAACAATAGTAAATTTAAAGCCAGAAAGTATCTAAAATTCAAGAAAACATTAGATTACAGAGAATATTTTCTTAATTTTTTAAGATTATTGAGTAGTTAAAAATTATATATAAAAGAGCTCACGGTGTATGCAATTATCTGTTACGGGCAAAATCCCAATAGAAAAACTTTAGATAATTTACATTATTTACTTCGGACTGTTGTCCTCATCTTTATTGCCATATTCACGATGCTTCAACCGTTGTACGTTCCGGCCTTCTTCAGATGATTGGAATTTCGACTTGAACCCTTTATTTCGTCCACCGGGGTAGATTGTTCTAATTCCAAGTGCCATGCCTCTTCAGGATGTCTCCCTTTAACCCAACTCGTGAATATGGCAACAAAGATGAGGACAACAATCCAAACAATGTAATTAATGCAAATAATTAAATACCTCGTCTCAGAAATGTAGACAAATTATGTAGATAAATATCAATCAGTCATTAAGCTGTCAAACATGTCAACAGCTTAAATAAACAGCTACCGTTGTGTCAAAGGTGCATTTCCGTGATATTTTAAACTCAAAATAAATAATATTTGTTTCATATGAGATTAATTATACTTTAAATTAGCTAATATTCCTCAAATAAAGTTACAGAAAAGTATATTTTATTTTTGGAAGAGTTTTTAATAAAGATAATTACATTGCGGTGAAAGGCGACTAAAAAGGACGCTAATCAGCTATTTTAGCTCCAAAAAAAAGTACCAACTCCTTCTATTCAATTTAAATTAAGTTTTGAAATACAGTAAAGTATTTTGCTTATTAGAGATATTAAACCTAACCTATTAGCTTGAAATTAAAACTAAAATAAAAGCTTCAAAAATGATTTTTCATTGTTTTAAAATTAATTTTAAACCTTAGGTGTCGCGTTTTCTATGATGGTATCTGCATTAAGGAATAAAATAGAACAATTGAAACAATATACTGTAATAAAAGTTATGCGACGTATAGAAGATTCGTATTAGGTATAATAACAACAACTAATAAAATTAGACACAGTAACAACTAATAAAATAAAACAGTGATAAAAATGTTGGTCGTCTTACCATAGATCTTAGCAAAATCTGCATGTGATTGTTTTTTTGTTTCCTTATTAAGTCAATAACATTCACCTTTTCTCTTCCATGAAAATCTTTACATTTTCTCTTTGGCCGATCCGAATTGCCAACACCACACCTCTTACATTTTGGAACCTTTATTAAGTAAAATCCATTTTTTTATACTTGGGTAACTATTACTATCCAAGGAATTTATACTTCCCATTAGTGGCGACGAATTTCTGGCTTTGTAGCGTACTTAGCTAGCCGTACTAAATACTTAAGTACGAAAGGTTTTCGTGTGACTTTAGGACTTCATCAGCCCAAAGTGATGTTTACCTCGATGCGATTACACAAGCGTACGAAGGAGAGTGTACGGTGAAATTTTAAATCTAAATTTAAAAAAAAAAAGAGGACAAAACGCATAACACGAAAACTTTTCCACTTTGTCATAGATTTTTCGATATATAAAAATGTATATGTTGTTTTCTCATCAAGTACAGGATGCGACAGAAATACCTCCCACATATACCTCCCAGAAATACCCCTCACATAATGGTAAGATATTAGCTAAATGAAGACACCATTGCCACTAATGTTCTACCATTATGTGGGAGGTATTTCTGGGAGGTATATACGGGAGGTATTTCACCCACATTTGTATAAATTGATTTCGTGTAGAAATCAACTGAGAGCAGTAACTCCTTATTTCATGGTATGCCTCTTGATTGTAAAATTAAGTAGGCTAACAGGAACTCTATTTTACAGATGATAAGTCATTTTTCGTAAAAATTTACATTTCATTGTTGGCGTCAACCAACAAACCTACATTTTGACCACTTCGCTCCTGCAATAGTGCCAACACTCAAGAGTATCGTGCGTGATACAACGAGTCACTATTCGTTTGGCTCACATCTCACACGGAGTGATGTAGGTAGTAAATTATTTTATCTGGGCCTGAAATGGCGGCAGCTTTATGAATGCGGAAGTAGTAAAAACCAGACCCGTAGTTCTCAACGTGTTGCGCACGCCCCTTAAGGGGGTAGTTTTTTATGGGGGAATTTTTTTAAGGGGGAATTTTTTAAGGGGGTAGTTTTTTAAGGGGGATTTTTTTTAATGAGTCTGTGTAAGTATGAGTGTGCGCGTGTTAATACATACGGTGCATATATAGTATGTATACATGAAAATATTTGTGTGTATGTATGCACATGTGTAATTATGTTTGTACCACCCGCACATCCAAGCTTAGAGCACCTGGTATTTTCAAACGGTCACCCGTCTACGTACTGACCATATACTTACTGAGAGAGAGATTGTTTGGAAATAATCGTTGCTAATGGACACAGTCAAGTTTCTTCAATCACAAAAATATAAGCATTAATATTTGGCTGATTGATTTGTTTTTTACGGTTTATCAACCTCTTGCAGGTTATTTAAAGGCAAAATATAGTTTTAGATTTTAAGAATTTTTGTGGGGTAATAATTGTTTACTGATACAAGTCCTACTAATTAACCCATAGCTGGGGAGTAGAAGAGGTGGATTTTTACCTTTCCATTAGCGCGTAAGTGAATATAACTAACCTGGCTGAACTTAGAACTCGTCTCTCCGATTTCCAATTTTAAGCCGTTATTTATTACACCACTCGCACATCCAAGCTTACACTACCTGGTTTTACCAAGTGGTCACCCATCCAGGTACTGATCATGCATTTAGTAAGTGTGTGTGTGTGTGAGAGTGAGAGATAGAGAGAGAGAGAGAGAGAGAGATTGTTTAGATATAATCATTGCTAATGAACACAGTCAAGTTTGAGGATTAATATATAAACGATTACATTTTTATGAGAATTAATATATGAAGGATTACAGTTTTATGTCTTTAGAAACAAAATAGAACTCAAAAAGGTAGTTGAAGGGAGGTGTGTGTGTGTCTGTGTCTGTGTGTCTGTGTGTAGGTGAACTTCTTCGTACCTACATGTGTATCTGTGTCGAGAGGAGTGTATTTTTTCAAAAGTATGTTAATGAATGCACAAACAGTTACGTGCAATTAACGATATTTGTATTGCCTTAGCAAACTAAATAGAAAGACCATAAAAAGAATGGATGAAGATGTGCGTGGAAGTGTGCGTGAAGGAGCCCCTTTTTGTACGTGCGTGTGTGCAAATCCATATAAAATATTGTGAGTGCCTTACATTTTGAGATTTCTTTCTTGGTATTTTTGGTAGAATAATAAAAAACATTTTTCTGTGTGCTGTGATCATGCCTCTCCACAATTTCCTCTCCTTTGTAGCTCTTAATAAATGTTGTCTTTTTGTCATCTCTTCCAATCCCTTTTCTGCCATCCAGTCACTCAAGCGCGACAAGTAGGTTATCCGTTGCCTTCTTCTGTCTCTTTTGCCTTCAATCTGTCCTACGAGTATCAAATTTTCTCTCTTTCCCTATTATGCGCACTAGAAATGTCAGCTCTCTCTTTCTGATATTAAGTATAAGTGTCTTTTTGTTTCCATTTTCTTTAAAAAGTCGTCGTTGCTTACATGTTCGATTAATAGTTATCTCAGCATCCATCTGTAGAACCATATTTTTATTGTTTCAAGTCTTTTCTTTACCTGTAAGGAGACTGTCCAAAGACAAAAATGATTTATTAAAAATAATTTACGGTTCGACATCAAGTCAGTCAGGCCCGTCGCCAGAATTTTTTGAATTGTGGGGAGGCCGGCCTTAAGTCAGAAGCACCGCAAGTAAGAATTAGCACTCATTTTATCTGTGGGATGCAAATGATTATAGAGGGTTGTGGGTTGGACATGCCTCGACCCGCTACAGGCGACGGAGTAAAGAAATATGGATAAGAATGAAAAATCAAGCATCCTGATCCGGTAACCTTCGTTTTTGTTGTTGCAAATTATTATTTTTATTTTTTTTTGGGGGGGGGGAGCGGTGGTTACAAACTTTCTGATTAATCTCAAGTTACTTTAATTAAAAAAACATTCGTTGTCATATAGGAGGACCGATATTACATGACAGTTTAGTACATTTTTCTTTCTTTCTAATTAAATTTTTCTGTTTCTTAATACTTTGCTTAGCTTCGGATTTCAATGTGGCATTTTCCGTCCTCTGTTAAAGCACCTCCATTCCTTTTAATTATAAATCCAACCATTTTTGCAATCAATATACGACGAATATTTTTTGACATTTCACCCGAAGTCTTCACGAAATTAAAACAATTCTAAACGAGAGAATGACTTTTCTAAATATTTGTTTTTTTGCCTTGCAATTTCTTCAGAACTTTGCCCGCGTCAAATAAATGCTTCTGTTGTCCTTTGGGTAAATCTAACAGGATATTTTCAACCTGCACCTCAAAGATTCTCGGCGAAACTGTGATCAAAGGAATTTCCAAACATCTTGACAGTATTTTCCAATGTTTTTGAGGTGCTGAGTGTGGTACAAGCATTCAGTTTCTTCACTGATAAATCATCAAACAAAGAAAAGAATATTTGTGGAATCTGCTTGTACAAGTGTGCATACCGTTAATTTTCATGCACACACCTTTCAAAGAAAAAATATCCCATTAAAAAAGAAAATTCCCGTTTTCTCATGATTTGCCCTTTATTTAATCAACTGGACAAGAAAATTCATTTTTATTTATACTGAGCTGAGGATGTGAATTTGCATCGAAATATTCAAAGTTGCTTTCATGAAGCTGAAAAATGTTTAGCTTTACCTCGTTTTCAATTTGAATTTGTGTCACTTTCCAGGCACAACTTACCGTAAGTCTGCGAGTGTGGGAGAAAAAAAAACTTTTAATGACTTTTGGTCGCTTTAAAGGAATTTGGCTTGTTTGATGTTGTTTTAGTGTCATTTTTTGTTTGGTGTACACATTTTTTTGTATTTGTGTGACTTTTTGTACGGGCAGTGCGACGGGGGGAGGTATTTTTGGTTGGTTCCGATCAATTTACTTAAAGCAATAAAACTGAATGAAGAAAAAAGCGAAAAAAAAGAAAGATGTAATCGGAAAAAAAAACTAAGAAAAGAAAAAATCGGAAGGAAGAAAACAAAGATAGAAAGAGAGAGAAAGAGAGAGAAAGAGAGAGAAAGAGAGAGAGAGAGTGATTGTAAGAAAGAAAAAAAAAAGAAAATTTGCCTGAGATTTTAATAACTGATCAAATCTCTCGCTCTTTTTTTCTCTTTTTTTTTATTCCAGCGACTGGCAGATAACTACGTCTTGATTTCATCACCTTGGTTTAATTTCAGTTTGCTCTTTTTAATAGACTTGGCCATTTATTGTATCTTTTTTGCTCTTGCATTATTAGAGTCGTTACTTTCTGACGTCGAATGAACAGTGAAACGCTAAAAATAACCATTCCAGTCCTGCAGGTTTTTATATTAAAAGAAGTCAAAGTTCTCAATAAAGTGAGATCATTTTATTCCGAGAAATTTTAGATCAGTATTTTGGCAACCAAAAACTGATGAAGGCGAAAAACACTAATTTGAGATTTGATGAAAAAAACAAAAATGACGAATACTACAAAAAAAAAAAAAAAAAAATGACGAATACCACAAAAAAAAAAATGACGAATACTACAAAAACAAAAAAGAAAAAATGACGAATACTACAAAAAAAAAAAAATAAATAGACCATTTATTTTGGGATTCAGTCAAAGAAAACTCATGATAAATGCCAACTGTGGTGCGGTAGTTAACAAGTTCTTGCTTCGCATAACGACTTCGATCTTGATAAGTGCCTCCATTTTTGTGGCCTTATACCATATTATGTTAAGCTTAATAAATAATCTATAGTGATCGTGTGGCTGAGTGGTTAGAACCTATGAATCCCACCATGGTCGATTTGTCAGAGAGAGGATTTCATGCTGTTATTGGCCCTGAGGAGGAGATCCCAGCGTTCTTGGGTCAACCATGTATTTATTTTCTTGCATTATTGGTGTTGTTATTTTCTGACGCCGATAAAACAGTGAAACGCTACAAATAAAGATCGTTGCGGGTTTCTATATTAAAAGAGGAAATTAGAATGCTCGACAAATTTTATTCCTAAAGTGCCTGAAAGCCATACTACTGGTTAGCCGAAGTCTTCTGAGTAAAATTGGTTATACGGAACTATTCACAAGTTTCCGATGGTCGTGCAAGCATAAGTCACAAGTCTTCGTAACGGAGAATTTGAGCCTTGTTCAAATTTTATCACGCCAGATTACAGGACCTCTCCGAGAAACTGTAATTAATGTCCGCGCAGCATAGTTGCAGTATGAACTATAGGTGTGCTCTGTGTGTATTGAACAAACACAAATATGCCCGAGCAGGCGTCTGCAACAGGAATTGGCTAAACGCGCTAACAAAGGTGTGCGCTTGAAAACGAATAGCCAGACATAACAGATAGATACATATGAACAGATTGAAATTGATAGATAGATAGATAGATAGATAGATAGATAGATAGATAGATAGGGTCCGGCATAAATATTTACCCATTATTTAAACAAAAATTATAATATACCTATTCGTAAAAATAGTAACAAATTTTGCACAAGGCTTCCTAACATTCTTTTTTTTTTAATTATTGTTTACATTTTAATTACAAATGGTGACTCAAACAAAACCTTTATAGTTACACCCCGTTGTAACGCCGGTTTCCGGACGATCACCAAAGTTAAACAATGTCGATCCTGGTCAGTACCTAGATGGGTGACCTGCTGGGAATACCAGGTACTGTAAACTTGGATAATGGCTCGGAATTGTTAATCGGAGGGCCGAGTTCCAATTACCGTTGGCTTCACTTACGCAGAAATATGTAGGTATAAATCTACCTCTCCCCCTCCCAGGTATACCTTAATTAAGACGTGTTTCACTAAATATTATAACCTCCACCGACAAAAATTATTACAATCTAAAAATATTTTCTGGCTTTAAATAACCTACAAAGGGTTGTTAAACGAATCATTCAAGAAAACGTGATCAATTTGCGGCATTGAAATTGGCTGGCATGAAGAATTGTGATGTGGTAAAACAGTTAAATGTTCGCAGAAAAAATGTTTTCAGTGTGTGGAAAAAATTTTCAAGCGGAGTAAACAACCTCACCAAATCCAATTCTTGGATAGAACCGTTCAGTTCTAATTGTAGAAAACGCCTAAGAATAACAGAATCATAAAAACCAAAAAGAGAGAGAGAGAGAGAAAAAAAGAAAAGAAACACTCAACATTAACTACGAACACCAAAATTCTTGAAAATGGTGAATAGATCAGCTGAAATAGAATGGAATTACCAAACATTTGAACAATTTCTCTATACACTATATCTCGAAAAGGAATTTCTTACTCACGCACAAAAAAAAAAAAAAAAAAAAAAAAAAAAATTAAAATATGTACCCTGTCAGTCATTTTCAGTGAAATATGCATGACAGAAATTTATCTAAGAATTATTATAATAGACTGTTATATATGAATAAAGTGTCGCTGCCGACACTTGAGTTTGAACATATATCACAAGTGAGTAAACACGGGTGATCCCATTATTGAGTTAGACCACTTGACTATAGAGGAAACGCATATATGGGAGATAGCGTGTGTCTAATTGATGTTCATTTCTAGTCTATCCTCTATTACAATTCGGATCAACATTTTTACTCTATCCTCTATTACTATATGGACCGCTATTCTCTACTCTATTCACTACACTATCGGATCACTATACGGTGGTTACTTTCGAGCGAGTATTATGGAGCAAGTAATATTAGTGCGAGTGATATTCGAAGGCGTCTGACATCAGTATTGTTCAACGGCGTTACTATAGTTGTATCTGCGATTACAAAGTCTCTACTAGAACGAACATTACTAAAGTGACAACAGGTATTCGTTGACATCACAAAAGTGGAAACGAGTGTTCGTTGACATCACAAAACATACGATGGAAGAAGATATCAAAATTCGAAGGATAGAAAAAGATGTCTTCGAAAATCTAAACAAATTATTAAGAGACAGGACAATTTCGTTGGAGTGCTTAACTCCTATGTAATATCAACTCTCCTATATAACAGTGAATGCACACATGAAGAGGGTGCAATTTCCGTCCATGTTATCATAGACGGAAATTAAGGGCAAAGGGAAAATGTTACAATGAGAATGAAGTTGACAATTGTGAGAGGACGGAAAGTGCGACACTGAGATCCGAAGACGTATTGGGGTAGCCAAAGACACATTCCAAAAGCTAAGCAGAGTATTACGAAACAGGAAAGTTTCGTTGGAAACAAAGAGTACTGAACTGTAACGTGATATCTGTCCTTCTGTATGGCAGCAAACGCTTGACAATCTCGTCAAAAATGAAGAAGAGAATTGAAGCAACAGAAATGTCGTGCTACAGAAAGATGATGAAGATACCATGGGCCGGACATGTGATCTTCGACGAGGTTTTGGAGAAAAGGAAACAAAGAGGAAACTTGTACTTAGCATCAAGAAGAGGCAGTTGAAATTTCTGGAGCACGCAATGAGGAAGGAGAGCTCGGAAAATCTGATACACACAAGACAGATTGATGGAAAGAGGAACAATGGAAAGCAGAGCGTAACATGGTTGATGGGCTTGAGAAAGCGGATGTCATAATAGGGTCTGGGAGAAATAACAAAAAGACAAAACTTATTAAGAGGTACAAGGCACAGGAGGACGTGGAGGACCATGATCGTCTACGTCCTGAAGGGACACAGCACATAAAGAATGTGGAAAGAAGGCTTGGAGAATTTGGTACTCACGTTACTTAAGGCTGACGAAAGATAGTAAGCTGTGGAGCGCGATGATCTCTGTATTTCGAATTGAATCCTTTATTCAATCCACGAACTTAAATTTTTCTCATTCAGCCCTTAAATCGTCATTAATTTTGTTACTTCGTTCTTTTCTTAATTCGTCCTTGTAGCCTAGTTTCTTCTCGCTTCTCTAGATTCATTGTCTGATCCAGAGATTGAGCTCATGATGAACAGGTAAACTGTAACACATAACCCATGTCTTTATCCATTAGACTATTGTAGGACAATCAGTCTGTGTGCGTTTAGAAACTTAAACTCAAAGTCTGCTCTTTTCTGATCACAGGCTTCTATATGGTGCTCATTTCCATGATGGGCCTACTGATTCTGTTCTTTCCTGGTCAAAGACTTCTATATGGTGCTTGATTTCATGCTAAGCCTACTGAGGAAGTTATCAGAGTCAAAGTAATTATAACAACCAAGATAAGAACAACAGTTTGAATAAATCAATGTATAATAATTTTTCAGAAATCTAGATAAACATAAACATTAGCTCAATCGAGTAAGGGAAATAAAAGGATAGAAATGTTGTATAACCAAGTTAAGAGAGTCTGCATGAAAATTAGCATTCGATTCCCCATTTTTTAATATGGACTTGGCTCTTCTCCTCAATTTTTCCTTCATTCCTCCTTTTTCTTTTATCTTTTTTCTTCTTCACCATTAACTTACCTTATATATTATGTCTTTAAATTCCTTAAGGAACATAGGATCACAAGATATCGTTCTGGTTTCTGTAACAACCAGTTTTTTTAAGAGAGTATGCTGTTAGTCTACTACACAACCCCCAACGTGGAGGGTCAGATTTTGAATTCAGAGTTGTCCTTCTCCTAGACCAGTTGCCAACCAAGACTATAAAACCCAGCCTGTCCTGCTATTTACCCATAACTGGGGGAGGATAAGAGAATTCATACCTTTTCCGACGGGTATTAGCACGTAAGTGAATTCGATTGGAATTCGAACTCGGTTCCCCAATTCCTCAATCCGAGCTGCTATCCATTACTCCAGCGTGCCTCCTCAATCTACCTTACTGCCCAGCTTTTCTTTCTTTCTTTTTTTCTCCAATCATTTTCCTTCCTTTCTTTTTTGTCCTCTCTATATCTATGCATTCTCTTTTTTTTTCTTTCTTCCTCTTTCTTGCTAGCATTCTCATGTCTTCTTTATCCTGTATAATATTAGGTGTGTGCAAAAGTTTCCAGCGTTCTTATTTTGAAAACGAGATACTGAGATAGTTGAAAACCATTTTTCTCTAGAAGCTTTTGCGCACAAATAATAATAATAATAATAATAATAATAATAATAAATTTTTGAATAACGTTAAACAGTACAAGGCTCGGGAGCCACTCAGAGTAGAGAGTTACTATTAAAATTAGTTATGATGGATGAGGTGTATGATATAAATTCAAAAAAACAGGAGGTGGTAGGCAGTGACGATCTTGAGGATACGAGAGATAGATAACTATTGACCCTTAATTTGAAAAGGGTAAGATAAATCTGTTCTGCAAAGTGGCAGTTCTTGGGGAAAAGCTAAGTAGAAACTTTTCTCTTACTTTTGAAATATGAAGGTAATAAGGTTGATTCGAATCCTTAGAAGAAGCGTGGCGTAACTGGTAGAACTAAAGCTCATGTAGACGTTTGCCATAGAATTAGTGACAGTAGCGAAAGCCTTGTAACGTTGTATTTATAGGAAATAGGCTGCAGAGTGAGGTTGGAAAATGAGGATTGGGCAGCTCCAGCCCAAATATAACAGCAATACTCCATTTTTTATTAAATAGGCCAAAACTATAATCTCCCTTATGCAAAAAATGTCATATATACAAACCACTACCAGTGACAGAATGTTAAAATGTAACAGTTCACTGTAAACACCGATCTATACACCAGATACAGTAATAAAAGACAATTAAAAATGGCAAAGATACACATCGGGCCATTCGGCTATTAGCATGCGTTTTAGAAGAATGGGCAACACTTGTACGTTAATGGGATTTTGAAATTTTTGAATGCGTGAGAGCAGAAGCGGGCTTATTTGCAGAAGAAGATTTCTGGCCGCGTTCAGAGAATTCTTTTCATTTCTTTGAAGTATTTTTATCAGAAGACTTTGGAGAGTTTGAGCGGCTAACTTTTAAAAGTGACGGTCCTGATGGACTTAGTGTTATCATCCCAAGTAGTCTTTCCGCTTTCGCGTCACGTACTGGTGAAAGAATTAATGATTCCTCTATTCGGCCACACACACCATGGTTTACATGATCTCGCACGATGTGCATAGACATTGCCATCTCGTTTGATAAAACGTCTTAAATTAAGAAACTTTTACAATATAACAGACTAAAAATAAAAAAAGAATCTGGCATTCAAACACAAACACTGTTCCAGTAATAATAGGAGCACTCGGAATGGTTAAAAAGATATATACATTAAAAAAATCTCAGGAATCAGAGATTGTGCACAAGATCATCAATCACATTACAAACGTCCATAATACATATATATATATATATATATATATATATATATATATATATATATATATATATATAAGCCCAGACAGTCTGTTTTAGGCCTGACGATTGCGTTCAAGCATGAAACAGACTGTCACATCTGGGTGTAGACTTCAATGTCCACTCTAATATTTACATACGTTCTCTCCCTGATATTGAGCACTTTAACCCATAAATATTGCATTTTTTTTAAAGTATATATATATATATATATATATATATATATATATATATATATATATATATATATATATATATATATATTAGATCTGATCAAACAGATTGATAGGATAATGAAACAAATAGAAAACGTTTAAGGATTTAACATGTTTAACTTTTATTTAAGCTTCATCAGAAATGAAATATGGAAGAGAAAATTAAATTTTGGTATTTATTTTTATTTCTGTGTTGTTTTTTCATTGGTTAAATA